TGCTCATACTGCTGACCAAGATCTAGTGATGGTTTATTTATCATCATGGTTATATCAGCCCTACATTGACAATAGCAACATAGTTCTGTTAGAAAGTATGTGGTTAGAAACAGGGCATAGGCAGTTATAATTTTACCTATTTGATATATCACCTTAAATTTAAATATTTAGGTAGCAAGATATATAGTGCTAATATTGTTATGGATTTACAATTTTATTACAGCTTATTTATAATAAAGTTCTTACTTTTTTATGAAAAAAATAGTTTGGGTTCAATTTTGGATTCAATTCAATTTGGCCTTGTTGTATTAAAAATTGAAAGAGTTGTGACATATGTGTCACAATATAGAACAGGGGTGTCAAACTGGCAACCCACGGGCCAGATGCGTCCTGTGCAGGCCGCACCCACCCCAGCTCCATGAATTGGAAAAATGTCATGAAATATCATGTGATGGCGTGACACGGTGAGTTTGACACCCGTGATATAGAAGATCTGAGAAGAGCACTGTGCATTGATGTAGCTGGAGATCTGAAAGACTGAGTTAATCTAACTGTGCTAATAAATTTGTTACGTAACAGATAACCTCAACCAAGCATCTGGGATTAATTCTAGAATGCAGGTGACATAATACATAGAAAAGCACGAAAATAATCCTAGACAAAAGACAAAACTATAATTGTAGAATTTCTTCCAGCTCGGCTCATTGCTGAACTCTACCAACATAATATCCATCTATTAGAAATAGAAGTTAATTAGAAATAAGCTTGTTCATACGTTCCTTTTATTTATTTATTTAAATAAATTCCTTTTATTTATATTGTCCCAGGCAGGGATGCGGAGGCTCTGTGGCTAAGAAGCTGAGCTTGTCGATCAAAAGGTTGACAGTTCAGCGGTTCGAATCCCTAATGCTACGTAATGGGGTGAGCTCCCGTTACTTGTCTCAGCTTCTGCCAACCTAGTAGTTTGAAAGCAGGTAAAAAATGCAAGTAGAAAAATACTTACCTTCCCCCTTGGTGGGAAGCTAACTGTGTTCCGTGTGCCTCTGGCGTTTAGTCATGCTGGCCACATAACCACAGAGATGTCTTTGGACAGTGCTGGCTCTTTGGCTTTGAAACGGAGATGAGCACCACCCCCTAGAGTCGGGAACGACTAGCACATATGGGTGAGGGGAACCTTTACCTTTACCTTACGTTCCTTAGGAACCCTTTTCATCATTAATATGATATTCCAGGAACCAGAGGAAGCAATTTGCAAGATGACATAATATTGCAAGATAAATACAATGTTGCAAGAACAGCATAACCACTTTCAGCCAATAAGTGATAGCCATGTTGGTATTGATTAAATCAAGTAAAGAATAAGCAAATCCATCAGACTGTTATCTTTCTTAGGTACACAGGAATGGCACCCAGCACCACACATACATACACATCAAAGAAAGATCTACATTCTCGGTAAAATTTAATTAAAAATGGCTGCACATCTATCAGAAGAAATAGACTGGAAAACACATTCTCACACATGCACACACCTGTCCCTGTAAAATCTCCAACCTCGACACCCCAATCTTGTAGCCAGCCTTTTGAAAGCTGGTTTCTGTGCTTTATTTCTCGAAATAAACTTTCTCCTTTCCAAGCAGTAGTCCACGTCTCAATTTTGCAATTCCCAGTTCGTGATGGAACCTCTTGTACTTTCAATACATGTTTTTCATGGAAATTAGAAATGCCTCATTTTGCTTATACTATAAAAGCATTATTTTTCCCCAGTAATCCTACTTAAACTGATTTAAAGCCCTTAGTTAAGGACACTGTGAGGGCATGGCAGGTGGAAAGAATGAAATGTACACTAGTCAGTGTGCATTTCATTCTTAAGGAGGGGATATAAATCTAAATAAACAGCAGGAACAAGATCAGCTTGCCTACCATAAGAAATATAAATAATATATTTTTATAATTATACCGTTTACCAATTGACAAAATCTTCCTCAAATTTTTTTTTTTAAAATTCTAACAACAGTGTTTATACCAAGTAGAAATGAATGAACAATCTGTGACTTGTGGCACTTTGGACTGCAGTTATCTGTATGACCAGTAGTATAGAAATTTGAGATAACACAAGCTGAAGATGCACAAAATGGCACTGCCAGATAGAGTGGTGAACTTCAAAAGAACTTGGAGAAAGCAGATGATCTAGACCCATTTCAGTCAGGGTGTAGGTGACATTCAGAAAACTTTGGTTATGCTGGTCAATGACCCATGACAAAGTCAGGATTTGGTGGGGGGGGGGCTTCTGTCCCCATCTTAATACTCCTAGGTCTTTCAGTGACTTTTGATGCCATTGACCAATGCAGTGTTTTAAACTGCTATAGACTGAATTACAATAGCTGCCAGAATAAGATATGTACAAATGCAACATATACCAATAAGCTCTCTAATTGTCTGATGTATAATTAATTGTTTCCATTAAAGTGGTTCATTTTTACTATGCAATTATGTGACTGAGAGTCTGAAGGAATGTGCAGACTTTTCCTAGGTACCAAGAAGAGGCTATGTTTCAGAAGGAAATCATTACTTCATTGTTCTAGAATCTTTGGTTCTATATAGCATGGCTATATTATTTGTTAATATAAGAAAGGTGGATATATGGCTTTGAAGTAATAACAATTAGATTGATAAATCTCAGTATAGTAATGAAATTAGATTAATACCTTCTTGTGTGAACATCACAATTGTGATGCCATCAGCAGACATGCATTATACATTCACCATTTTATAATGGTGCCTTACAGAAGACTTATGCTCAAAAGTAAAATGCATGAGCTATAAAACGTTTTCTTTTTATTTGTGATTAAACTACTGTCTCCTGTCTGAGGTGAAAAACTACAAATTATCCCCTTGAAATTTAGTGGGAGGAGGAGGGGAAAAGTAGTATAAAAATGTGCTGATAAGACCTTCAAGAATGCTGAATCCTTCATCCTGGTAAATTATGCATGTACTTGTAACAATTCATTTCTGGTCTTTCATGAAGGCCTTTTGAGATAAGAAAGTCTAGAGCAGCAAAAAATATTTTCAGTTAAAACATTACATTGGTTTTGCCCCAGTTTAATTATGATTGAATTCCAAATGAGGGAATACAAATGGCATAATTTGGTTCAGCCTGTTTTTCACAATATACAGCTTTTTCAAAGTATATATGTATGCATTTTAGTATTCTTGTGAATTTTCTGCCTAATTTTGGAACTTGTTGTCACACCATTTTTTTTTCTTTCTCATCCAGTAGAAATTGAGCCCATCAGCAGGGAAGAAGGAGGGCAGGCCCAATCCTTTTACATTCATGAGTTTAGTGATTATGTTGGCCCTCATGAAAGATTGGACCAGCGTAAAATCTGCCCACTGAAAGTGAATACTTTTGACCTTAAAAAGCTTTGATGCAATAAGTCAGAGTTGTCTGAATGGAGCTCTTTAAAGCTTACCTGATTTGAAGTATATATCAGGAAGCAATTCAAGTTTGGAATGGGATTATGGAATGGGGTAATCCAGTTTATCTCTTGAATAAGCTTCTGGATCTAGTCTTTCCCATCATATGTTGGTAGCCAATTGCTTCTATTCCTGACAAGATCAAACTTGGGCCATAGTAACATCTGCCTTATTTACATCTAGATAAAGTATTGTTACAAGTTGTACTTAGACCTCTCTTGGAAGATTCTTAGAAACTGCTATTGGTCCCAAATGCAGCAGCAGCAATGTTGATGGGCATTTGAAGATAGGTGTCAAGATTGAATCACTTTGTTTCTTTCAAACCTAATGCTTTTCAACTTACCAATGAACTGGGGGGAGGAAAGGGGGAAATAGGATGCTGAGAATGTGTCCATGGACCGTGAGAGCCTGGTAACCATCAAGGTCATCACTGCAGGTGCTTGAGAAAGAAATGGACTGTTCCCATAACAAAAGGATATCTCATAATTGGACAATGTGATCAACCAGCATGGGGAGAAAGGGAAAGTACTGTTTAACTAAGCAATTAGTTGCGCGGGAAAACCAGAACTGGTTTGATTCTTCAGTACTAAAATGATGTCTCCAATAAAGTTTTACTTTTGGGAATTCAAAGCTCCCGAGAGTGTTTCTTTCTTTTGAATTCACTAGTTGGACAGATGACAGTAGGACTACGTATTAGTTCTGTAGGAATTGTGCTGGTTGCCAGATGATTTTTGTACACAATTCAAAGTGGCTATTTAAAACATCTAGTTGCAGGATTGATTAGGGAATATTTGTCTAATATCAGCCTGCCTGCACTGTAAAGAGAAACGGGAAGTATTTCTGTTCGTTCCAGTTTTAACTAAGGCACTGCTGGTGGAGATAATAGAAAAAGCCACCTCAGCAGCTTCACCTGGATGCACCTGGTTTCAAGAGAATAGGTTGCCATTTTCTGTTGCATTCCTCTGCCAACCAGTTGAGGTCTTCTCATTCAAAAAGGCATTTTTCCACCACAGGGAGGGAGTATTAATTTTTCTCTTTTTTACTGTATCCTTCAACTTTTCATGTTGTTTCTTGTCTTGTTTTTGTTTTCTTTCTTTTAAATGAGTTTAATTTTGTCTTAGTTTTAAGTACTGTTAGTCATTCTGGGTGGTGTCTAGGCACTAAAGGCTAGGATATGAATTTTTATATAAATAAAAACTTAAATAAGCTATTTTGCATCCCAGAGAGACAATAGTAACACTACCAAATAAAGGTTTATTTTAAAGGGGGAAAGACTTGGTCCTTTTTCTGTACTTTCTTCTTCTTTTTCCTCAGTAAGATCTTCATCCCCCAGAAAGGGCACCAGAGAACTTCTCTCTTGCTTGTAGCTCTGTAGGGGGCATAGATAAGGACAATTAAGCATAGGTAGAGGAACATATATGCTCTTTCTGTAATCTCTCGTTGCAGAAATCACTGTGGTCACAACAAAAATGTTCTATTTTTACTTCTAGATTAGAGGAACTCATTATGGTGCCATATCTTGCCTGTGGCCCGCAGTCCAGTATTTTCTCTTGAAGTTCCTCTTCTTTGGATGGAATAAATTAAGAGAAAAAGGGGAAAAAAGTAAACAAGTATGTATCTTCTGAGGAATTCATACCTCACACCATATTTTCAAACATTATTTCATTCAATCGTCTTGTCCGTAACTGCTAATACCTCATTTAGCCATCCTTATTCTCCCTTTTTGGGAAAGTGAAAAAGATCCTTACCATCCCATCCCATCCCATCCCATCCCATCCCATCCCATCTCATCTCATCTCATCTCATCTCATCTCATCTCATCTCATCTCATCATCTTGTAATGGCAATAGGTGCAATGTTGGAATACCTGAAAAAAATGGGTTAGGGACAGATTGTCATGGAGAAAATCTATCTACGAGGTTGCCAGGAATTGAAACCCAAACCCGAATGATGGCACATAATCAATCAGTATTCTTGATGACTTTCCTATCTATTCCCCCCATTTCAGCATAGAAGAGTACAGTCAAATAAAGAAGAAGTTGAAGTTTCTTACTGAAATAGGTCCTCAAAGCATGGCAGATGTGAATTTCAGGAGGTGCTTAGCAGGTCAAATGCCATACTTCTAGCCCCCTGGCTCTACAGAATTGACATTGCAAAGCATTGGCTTCAGGACAAAGAGCAGACAGTCAGCAGATGGATTGTTAGGCACCTTTTAGCTGAATTTGGCAATCTCTCATATGCAAATCCAAATTTCAGGTAAGATTTTGCTTGCCAGATTTTACTACTTGCACTCAGGCAAACACAGAAAGCTAGTAATTAAACAATATGAGTATGTGGATTATATTAGCAGAAGATTTTTCTCCCTCCCAAAAAACATATTTTCTCAGTAATTGCTCATATTTTGTAGAATACATTGAGAAATAAATGAATCAAAGTTATCTAATACATCTGTTGTTATTATAAAGCAAATACATTGATGTGAGTTGCAGCAGTCCTCTTTTAATGTTATATTTAACCTTGGATAAAAAAGTCAAATGATGTTATGGTTGTGGTATTTACATCCCAATTAGTAACCAATATTGATAGAATTTCTTATTTTATTTTCAATATTTTAATCTATCTAAATAGTGGGTGTTAATATACTCTAATCATGTCACATGAACATCGTTGTATTCAAATAATACAATATATCAAGATTTATAATATAACAAAAAAGGAAATGTTCTGCTTTGAGACTGAAGTTTATAAAGTCATTGCCACAATTAAAATAACACTATAGATAGTCCTTGTTTAACAACTCTAATTGGGATTGGCAAGCTTGCCACTAAGTGAAGCAGTTACTAAGTGGAAAATCATGTGATTGCATCTATATTTTCTGGTTAGAAAGAGAGAAATATATTTGATATCACACACTTGACTTTTGTTTGTCTCCTACCACTCCCCTTTTGGAATGATCCAGTGTCTCTTAATGACTTAATGACACATCAAAAGCAATTCCTGAGATTGGAAGCCATGGATGCACTATTTAAATAGTTTACTCTCTTGAAATCCCTTCCTCTCCAATCTCTCTGTTCTGCAAGGGAGCATGGGGGGAAAAAACCAGGTTGGCATAGGACAAGCTGTACTGACTATAATAGCAAGTGCAAGCCACTTTCATATTGTTCCGAAGAAAGTTATATGAGCATTAATTATGAGTAATAAGAAATAAGAAACAGTTAGTTTTCATTTTGGTCAAGCAATAAGTTTTGGAATTTTCCTTCCTTCCTCTTTTCTCTCTTTCCTTCCTTCCTTCCTTCCTTCCTTCTGCTTTAACGTTGAGTAATTTTCCTTTTACCCTTTAGAGACACTTTAAATTACTTTCAAAGACTATCAAAAAAGCTGCATATTGTACAATACCCTTTTTCAAGATCTAAAGTGCATACCTACAGGTGGAAGTAAGGCACCAATTGCCTGTGAACAGCATTAGACCTTGTGGAGACATCACAAAGTGCAGGGAGGTCAAATTGTGAACCGCAGCAGAGTTCTAGAGTTACAGATGTCTTATTTTCCAGCATTTTTTGACAACTTTCCCACTTTTATCTTGTTTATGGCACAACCTTCCCAATAGAACATACTGTCCTCTTGAAAGGAAGGAGACAGGCTGGTTATAAATACAGACAACTTATGCACAAGACAAATGTTTAACTAAGATTTCAGCAAGATAAGAAATGGCATCATGGCATTTTTTAAAATTACTAAATTAATACATGAAACAGAATGTGATGAAAAGATACAGTCTGTTCAGTCATTTGATAACCATTTGTCAAGGATGTTCTAATTTGAATTTCTGCACAGAGCTGGGGAGTTAAGTCAATGCCCCAAATGGCACCTTCCAAGTCTAGGATTCCATAAGTTAAAAATTAGTGGACTTTTCCCCATTGTAATGAGAATCAACTACCACTTAGTATCATTCCTTACCTCACAAACTTGAAAATTACCTTTTCATGGTGTTGCATCTCATAGTTCATTTTATTATCCTTTACAATTAGCTTCCTGCTTTGCCAAATAGTCTCCTGTGTATTCTCGTGATATGGATTACTGGTATGCTCAGCATTCCACTTTGCACACTGTCCTTTATCTAAGAACAGTGTTTCTCAGACTTGTCAAGATTCATGGACTTCAACTCCCAGAATTCTCTAGCTACCCATTCTGGGAGTTGAAGTCCACACATCTTAAAAGTTGAACACTGGCTTAGAAGGATGATTGGCTTCCTGAAACCAACCAGGATGAGGCCTGGGAAGTTAATCAAGAACTTCCCAGTTAAATACATATAACAAATATGCACTTCATCATTTCCCAATCTCTGCTAGTTTCTGCAATTCTTCAACAGTTATTTTGTGTGCCAAAACTATGGTATATTTTTTAGCATCTTGTAAAAATGGGCATTTTTTTTGCCCCCCCCCCAAAAATAGAAATCAACAAAAAAAAGATCACAACTCACAATCAAATGTCTGTGGAATGACAAAACCAGTCATAAACTGACTGCTTGCCAAACACCCAACATACAGTCACATAACCATGGATGGAAGCACAACATGACCATTTACAATGTCAAATGAGTGATTTATAGGCAGTAAGGAATGACTTACGGGCAATAAAGCAACCATTTCATGGCCACTGTAAATGCAAACAGTCTTTAAACAACCGGTCATAAGTCGAGGACTACCTGTATATGTTATTCCTTTAATTCACATGCTCCAGCAACAAAACATATCTCAGCTTTAGTTGGTCATAAAGCCTTCTCACATTAGTATCCACAGATAAACAAGATATTGTGGGGGGAAAGAATCCCATTTTTCTCAGGTGGCAAAGAAGCTAGAATAGAATAGAATAGAATAGAATAGAATAGAATAGAATAGAATAGAATAGATAACAGAGTTGGAAGGGACCTTGGAGGTCTTCTAGTCCAACCCCCTGCTTAGGCAGGAAACCCTACACCACTTCAGACAAATGATTATCCAACATCTTCTTAGACACTTCCAGTGTTGCAGCATTCACAACTTCTGGAGGCAAGTTGTTCTGCTGATTAATTGTCCTTACTGTCAGGAAATTTCTCTTTAGTTCTAGGTTGCTTCTCTCCTTGATTAGTTTCCACCCATCGCTTCTTGTCCTACCCTCAGGTGCTTTGGAGAATAGCTTGACTCCCTTTCTTTGTGGCAGCCCCTGAGATATTGGAACACTGCTATCATGTCTCCCCTAGTCCTTCTTTTCATTAAACTAGACATGCCCAGTTCCTGCAACCGTTCTTCATATGTTTTAGCCTCCAGTCCCCTAATCATCTTTGTTGCTCTGTTCTGCTCTCTTTCTAGAGTCTCAATATCTTTTTTACTTCGTGGTGACCAAAACTGAATGCAGTATTCCAAGTTATGAAGTGGTATTAACATTTCACGTGATCTTGATTCTATCCCTCTGTTTATGCTGCCCAGAACTATGTTGGCTTTTTTGGCAGCTGCTGCACACTGCTGGCTCATATTTAAATGGTTGTCCACTAGGACTCCAAGATCCCTCTCACAGTTACTACCATTGGGCAAGGTACCATATATACTGTACCTGTGCATTTTGTTTTTCTTTTGTAAGGTTCTAAATATAGAACCTTACTTTTTTCACCATTGAATTTCATTTTGTTAGCGCCCAATGCTCAAGTCTGTCAAGATCCTTCTGTATCTTAAGTCTATCTTCTGGAGTGTTGACTATTCCTGCTAGCTTGGTGCCATCTGCAAATTTGATGAGTTCCTCATCTATCCCCTCATCCAAGTCATTGATAAAGATGTTGAAGAGTATTGGGCGTAAAACAGAGCCTTGGGGCACTCCGCTGCATACTTCCCTCTATGTAGATGCAGTTCCATTGAGGACTACTTGTTGAGTGCGGTTGGTCTAATGAACCACTTCTGCTTCTGTATTTGGTGACACATTCCTATGCAATTTCAGATTCAGTAAATTCTTCTTAATCTACATATTCTAAATTTCAATCCACATATCTCTACTATTTACATTTATTATTTACATTACAAGTGGGGTAAACATTTCCCCACCTTTAGCATCTTCTAGAGCTTCTTCTAGAATTCCTTAATCTTCAAAGACCTACTGCGTTTTTTTCTCCCTACCTTTTTCAGTAATTGCAGATTAGAAGCCATGTTGTAAGAATTGCACCCATGATCAGGCCAATTCGGTCACAAAAGATTGTTAGGAAATCAGAAATGGTTAATCCCAGCAACATACAAAATTAGATCAAAGAAAAAAATAACTAATTGGAAAAAGGAAGTTAGTGTCTGAATGATAGAAGCAAAATGATGGCATAAAAATAATAAGCCAAACTAATTTCACATCTAATGTGTATTATTATTACGGATGGTGGTAATGGTCTTACATATGTGGATTCACATAGCAATAGCATTCAGACTGCTTCACAGTGCTTTTACAGCCCTCTCTAAGTGGATAAAGTCAGCATATTGCCCCCAACAATCTGGGTCCTCATTTTACCCACCTCGGAAGGATGGAAGGCTGAGTCAACCTTGAGCCTGGTGAGATTCAATCTGCCAAATTGCAGGCAGCCTGCTGTCAGCAGAAGTAGCCTGCAGTACTGCACTCTAACCACTGCACCACCGCGGCTCCATGTTGCAATGTGGTTGTTTAATTAATTACTTACTTAACATTATTATGACTATTCCCATGTAATAATTTCCTCCATCTGTCTAATTGTGAATCACAGTAGCCCATTTGTATAAATCTGTTGTTATTTTTTTTTTCAACTCTTCCTACAGTGTGTCATGCCTAGTCCTGAGCCTGTATACCAATCTCACTATGTCTCCTGCACATGTTCTGCTTCTTGTTGGAATGCAGCCTCCTATACACTTGAAACAATCACAATTTTTCAGGGTAGATTGAAAAGAGATTTTTAGTCTCCTGAGGGGTAGAGAGGAGAGAGCAGGATAACAAACTTTGTAGCCAGTCTTCTATGTTTGGGAATGAGAGGAAGAAAAAAAAATGAATTATCACCAGAACTAGTTGTAGCCTAATATAATATCACTGCAAAATTGCCTGGTGTATTAACTTTTGCGCTTTAAACTTACTTTTTTTTTCTTCTTGAGAATTTCATCCACTCCATCCAATCCTGATTTTCTTGAACTTCTTCTTCCTCTTCCCTCATTTATTTGGTTTTCAATTCTATCTTCATTCATTCTCTCTACATGACCAAACCACTTCACCATACTTTCCTTTAGACTAGTCAATCACTTGTGTATTCAATCCATCTTTATGTAGCATTGTTTTTGGACCCTTCCTCTTCATTGTGTACTTCTTCAGTATCCCTTTCTCAATGTATCCAATGTATTTCTCCTGACGTACCCAGTTCTGTAGAACATGGATAAAAACATGTGCTTATTTCATTATTTATCTGCTTTCAGGCACTTGCTTGTATAACAGAATGACAAAGTTGGAAGGGAACTTTTCTAGTCCAACTCCCTGCTCAGGCAGGAAACCCTATACCACTGATGGCGAACCTTTTTGGCACCAAGTGCCGAAAAGGGAGCACTTTGCGCGCTTGTCAGGGCCATGACCAGGAAAAGGAGCTGCCCAGGGGGCATGTGCATGCTGGATAAGATACTTCCAGGTTCCTGTGAGTGCATGTGCGCTGGCCAGCAAGTCTTCTGGTAACCGCCGCGCATGCTCATGCACTGATCAGCTGGCCGACACACATGCTCATGCTGGAAAAGGGAAGACCAGCTCTTCTGGTTTCCAGCACTGCCACATGCACAAAGGCCAGCTGATCGATGTGTGCACATGTGCGCCAGAAGCCTGGAAGAGGAATGGGCGACGCCACGCATGCCAGGTGACATGGCTCCATGTGCCACTTTGGTCACCCATGTCATAGGTTCGTCATCACGGCCTTACACCATTTCAGACAAATGGTTATTCAATCTCTTCTTAAAAACTTCCAGTGTTGAAGCATTCACAGCTTCTGGAGGCAAGTTGTTCCACTGATTAATTGTTCTAACTGTCAGAAAATTTCTTCTTACTTCTAGGTTGCTTCTCTCCTTGATTATTTATTTTATTTATTTTTATTTATTATCAAATTTATAGACCGCCCTTCTCCTGAAGGACTCAGGGCGGTGTACAGCCAAAGTAAAAAACATAAGATACAAACATTAAAAACAATTTTAAAAGATATATATAAGTTTGGCCCCAAAGTTAAAAAACAATAACAAAACATATTAAAAACATTTAAAAAGTGTTAAGCCAGCCCGGCTTGCTGAAAAAGAAAAGTCTTCAGGGCACGGCAGAAGGCACCGAGGTCTTGAATTCTTCGTATCTCTGGGGGCAGTTGATTCCAGAGGGCAGGTGCCCCCAGAGAAAAGGCCCTCCCCCTGGGGGCCACCAGTCTACATTGCTTGGCCAATGGCACCCTGAGGAGGCCCTCTCTGTGGGAGCACACCGGTCAGTGGGAGGTTGTTGGTGGCAGCAGACGGTCTCGAAGGTATCCAGGTCCTATGCCATGGAGCGCTTTAAAGGTGATAACCAACACCTTGAAGCTTAGTTTCCACCCACTGCTTTTTGTCCTGCTTTCTGGTGCTTTGGAAAATAGGTTGATTCCCTCTTGTTTGTAGCAACCCCTTAGAAATTGGAACACTGCTATCATACCCATTGTATATCTAGTTTAATGAAGTTAATGAAACCCAGATTGTATCCATTACATTTGTTTTTCTTCTCAAATCAGTCAATGGAATAACAGAGAATTCTTTCTAGCAAACAACATTTCAACCAAGGAACTTATGGTGTCTGATAAAATCTGATATCTCAAAACATAGTAGCTATGAGACCAAGGAGAACTTGGTGCTTGTAGCTTCTCTGAGCCATAATCCGTCACCATCCGTGCACTGTTGAAAATCTGAAGAGCAACAGCATGGTGTTACTCTCACTCTGGCTCTGGAGCTGGACTTAAAAACTTTCCTTGGATAACTGTGTACTCCAAGCAGCTGATTAAACCTACTATTTATACTATTTTGTGCTTCCTTGCCAGTTGAATAGTTTCTGTAAC